ACGTCTTCATTGCCAAAGCTCTTGTTCTCGTACTTCTCTTTTGGGTGTCAGTATTTTGCAATTTGCTTGTTTTATACTTGTGGTCTCACCCGGTAACGAAGCTTGGATAAGAACTACAGGATTGAATGAGCAATGAAAGATCAAATTGAAAAGAGGAAGAAGCCATCAATTAATTGAACTTGTCTTCATTGCACTAAACAACCTCCCCAGAGATTATGGCTGGTGTTCTTCCAAAGATGCAAAAAATCTTTACAGCATTGTAGTTGCTTTAACGGCTGCAATAATCTGCTTCCCCTAACTCCTAAGAATAAGTGTAATTCTGCTAGATACTATTCCAACTTTGAGAAAAATGATTCCTAATTAAATGAGGAAGTTTTTAACGAATTAATTTGCCAGTGCTTCGGAACTAAAATAATTAGCACTAGAAGAAGCCATTAATTAGAAAAAAGCACACAGACTAATGGTCCCTTATGTTGAAAATTTGTTCCTCTCTGCCCTTTACACTATTGTGCATTTCAGTCTCAAACATGGTCCATATGCAACATTTATTCTGGTCCCAGTTTCATTTGTGACTATTGTTACACTTGAGAAATTCTTGCAGACATCATTTGTCCAGTAGTTTGATAGGCTAAAATGGATCCTCTTTGGATTAAGCTTAGAATTAAGACACGCAAACTGATACGAACCTGTAAACACGCCTAAAAATTGTGTATTTCGCCTTTGTAACTTACTCTTTGAGATGTGATGTACGTAAAATAAATTGGTTGGAAAGATCAAACAGTGATTAAAAAACGTATTTATGATACAATTAAAACTTTTTTTGATGAACAATATCATATACAAATAAACTTTTTTTCTTGATACTCAAAAGCTAAGGGAAATGAAACCTAAGGCTATTATAGTCCATTCAGTAATCTCAATTGAGTTGATAAGAATATTGATGATTATGTAGATTCTGTTCCTTCTATATCAGTTGAGTTGGTAATAAGAAATTCAGCTTCCACCCCAATTTCATCAAAATAGAGAAATAAAAAAAGAAAGAAAATGCCTTATATATTATTAACCATTCAGAAGATGATAATGCATGTAAAGATAAGAGAATTAGAAAACAGTCCATTCAACGTAAATCGAAACTTTTGACTATGCATTTTAAGATACCTTATGACTAGCAGTACTGGATCTACTATAGCCAGCAACCGAGAATATATAATCAAAGTGTAGTTTTTTATTATTCGATGGGAAGACCAAAATGTTTTCACATTAGTACACTCCTATGTTTAGTTGCACTCTTTACATCTACTTCCAAGTAACTTTCACATAAGCTTTAAATTACATATTGGAGCCCGGACCATGAATAGGTTAATTGTCAATAGCCTTGTTTTTGTCAAACTGTCATGAGAAGAGTACTCTTTCTGACAAAGTAATTTAACTTGCCTTCTCAGTCATGAAGTTTTTAAACCCCTATAAGAGCTCAGCTGAAGTTTATATTATTAGTAATGCCTTCTTTCTATTCTCTTTTTTTCTTTCAGAATAAAGAAGTGCCATCAACTATTATTGGGTTATTTACGAACTGAGCTTTGCAACTTGATGGGCACTACCTAATGAAGCATATGCATGAGAAATTAACCTATATGCTCAAAGCTTAAACTTATATATTTGAACAAGAAATGAGGCCTTTCACTCAAAGAGATCACATTCAGGTTTTCACTTTTCCTGGAAGACTGATCGTACATATCCCTACCAACATAAATTCAACTCAGACTTTGACGCACAAAAAGAAGACTTTAAAATAAAAAGTACTCCAGTATCATTTCGTACTTAGTAATGTTACACTTAAGATATATATTATGTTTCCTTTTTTTGAGTTTATTTTGCAGAATTCATGTGTTTCAACTCTCATGCAGTTAGTCCTATTTCAAAGCTGGTAATTAAGCTAGAACCATTTGTTTTTGTCATTAACTAGATATTTCTCCACCAAATCGGTGGTGTGTGATTTTTCTTGATATAAGTTAAAGATATCGGATCCTTGATGATTTTTTACTTACAGAATTACATATCAGAATACAGCCTTGTAGAGTTTATATATGGAGATCATGTACTTTTTAAGGGTATTGCAACTACCACAAGTGTAGAAGTTGGAGAAAGAAGTAAACGAGTTCTGCAGTGGCACTTCTTTGGTAATTGTTCACGTTTTAATGTACTGGCAAAGATTAGAAGTTAACTGTGCCTCCATAAGAAGCTGGAAAAAAGATGACAAATAGCTCAAATTGAAATTAATTAGAAATCAAGCAAAATTTCTGCTTTGGAGGGTCTAAGTCAAGACACTCCTCCGGGTTGAAAAACCTAACTTTCAAAGAATAAAATGTAGCTAGCTACGAAAGAAGCACAAAATTGTATTCCGATACATACATATATATATATATGTGTGTGTGTGTGTTTTGCTAAAGGAAAAGGAGAAAAAAAGGAGGGGGGGGGGGATCATTTATCACAATCGAAATGTTGCTCTACTTCACATCTGTAATAATCTGCATGCATGGGGACGAAGAGGAAAAGGAGTTTCTGCTGAATTGGCGTTGGTGATGGCTATAACTGGGAAAAAAACACACTTCAAGAAAGTTAATCAGTCATATACACACACACATCACACACATATGTGTGCGTATATGAGTGTGTATCAAGGAAACATTAGAATAACAAAGTGTAAAATGATCATCCAATTTCTACTACTATAATGGTAATAGATATATATGTGAAGCTCGTAGTGTTAAAAATAACAAAAAGAGTTGTTTATTGAGCTAAAGATATTGGAAAGAATTTGCTATATACATGTTATCAATCTTTCCGCCATCCAAGCAAAAGACTTCACCGACTTTGGATATTCTCACCCAAGTAAGTCTCACTTTTGTAAAGAAAAGTTATTGATAATCACTTGAATCACTTTTGTCAAAAGAGGATATTTAAGCAGTCTTTGCTTACATCTTTCTCTTCATTTTTGGTTTGAATGAGTTGAATAGACTACTGAACTGATGTGCTGTTTGTGGATAGTTTCGATACAATTCTCAAAGAAAAGAAACCACTAGGGAGTTTGCATTTGAGAAGGGTTTAGGTCTTAACTTTTTTTATAGACTCATGAACATTGTCGTCCAGGTTTGGGTCTTAAAAGTAGCTTAAAAAAGTAATGAAAGTCGTCAACATTAAAAAGTGATGGAGGACAATATGATGCCTTGATTGCCAAAAGCTCTTTTTACAGTTTATGTGCTAGTAATGTATGAATTCAGACTAGATTGAGGTGATAGAGATATCAGATATGGCATCAGTCTGAATTCTGCCAAATTTTGCTTTAAAAATAATTTAATCGTTTGACTGTGGCTAGCTAATTTACGTGGGTGGACCGTGGGGTACCATCGAGTGGACTATGCTGTAGTGATTTGTCACTTGTCTCTTTAGTTGGTAAGCAACATTTTGCTTCTAAATTGCTTGTAAGCCACCTTCCTGATTTGCAGTTCTCTCTTCTTCTCCTTTTTTTTTTTGGTACATATTAATGGTTAAGTTACTGAGGGACAATACCTATAACAAATAGGTCACGGATTCAAATCATCAAGAGGGTTAAGTAAAAAATTAATTATCGCTGATCTTCAAAAAAAAAAATTATAAGAGACAAAATTTGATACTAGAAATATTTAGTGGGAGAAACAATAGTCAATTAAACTTAAAAGGATCTACCAATCGACTCACAATCGCCCCTCTCAACATGAAGGGAAACATGGACAAGTGCTTGAAATCCAATTGGAGGCAAATTAGTTGAAGTTTTTTGAAAGATGTTGAGTTATACGAAAAAAGAATTTTGACTATAACTTTCTTTGCAACGAGTATTTTGAGAAGGGATTCCACAGCAACTTAACGGTCTCGAAAATTTTAAATTTGGAGACGTTGTGTTCATTCATTCTATGAAGTTCTTGAATGTCGATGAACTTTCTGTTCTCACAGTTCCTCATAATTGATGGCACGAAATGGAAAGGTGTCACTTACCATTTCCTACCATCATGTTACCAATCTGTCAAAGTTTGAACAAAATCTTTTACCAAAAAAAGCAACTAAATTTATATTTCAAGACAATTTCCAATAAATGAAATTTACTTTTTAGGGATAATATTAGATACCTCCCTTGAGTTTTGTCCTAATATTACTTGGCACTCATGAGATGTTAAAAATATCATTTACCGCCCCTAGTAATTGTGAAAAGATTATATTAACCCTCACTTGATATATAATTTGCATATTAAATAAATGGAGCTAAAAAAGTTAAGAAAGAAAGCAACAAAAGTCACTTTTTTCTCTTTCTTCTTTTTTCAATGTTATCTCTTGCTAATTTTTTTTTGAATGACAGTGTGATTTTTTATTTGTAAATTATAGAAAACTGAATTTTGTTTATCTTTTTACCTTTTGTGATTGTAATAGAGTGGGGTACGATTTCTTTATTTATTTTGAGTTGTTTTCATAATGCTTAATACGATTTAAAGGCTTGGACACGGGTTGAGAAGAAGTTGAAAATAATATATAAGGTTGATAAGAAATTGATTTTGAGCATATAGAGTTAAATTGATACTAGTATATTTCTTTGCAAATATCTTTTTTGTTTTTCAAATTTATACTTTTATGGGCTATAGTATTGTAACATAGTAGTTCTACTAGAGATTATTTTTAAAGTGATGGTTTTCTTGGAGTAAACAAAATGTTTTAAGAGTATTTTTTATTTAGTGAGCAAAAGGGTAGTTTAGGGTTTTTAAAAATTTTGTTGCACAAATAATAAAAGTAAGGATGGTAAGTGATATTTTTAAAACTTTAGGAATGCTAAGTGACATTAAGTAAAACCTCCTGCAAATGGGACAGTTTCAGATGATAATATGCGTCCCACAATCATGTCCGCATGTCAAAACAAAGCCATCAGGAAACCACCCCTAACAGAGCTAATTCCAGAGTCCAGACAACCATTTTCAGTATGTGAGAACTGGATCATATCTAACATTTGCAAGTTCAAATTTTCTACTTGATACAAATTTAAGACTGGAAGTCCAGAATCCTGTTTCCAAAGTACAACTGGGAGAAGCTTGTACACTTGTGGTTGGATATCTTGGGCTTTTACAGGGCAAATAAATCAATATGAATTTACACTTGAGAGCAAGTTAAAGCTAAAGTTACTGAATGTTGTGATGTTTCATTCACTAAAGAGAAGCAATTTACGGCCTACGACTTTCCAATGAATGAAAATTTATGGCCTACAGACTTTCCAATGAATGAAATCAGGTATCAAGATATCTGCCCGGGCAACCATCAATTAAACCGTCGCCCACTCATTATGTTCTTGACTGTGTCCAATATCCGGACATATTCATAAAAGAGAATGGACTCTTTACCCTCCAGTCCATCCCTGCTCACTCTATTGCTACCGGCCAGATTATTACAAGGACTGCCACCAACTACAAGATCGAAACCTCCAATTTTACCTGCTAAACTCTCTATCTTGTATGCATCTAAGGTCTGCACATCATCAAAGTCAATCAGATTCCCCTTCTGATTTGTCTGCTCCCACCAACTGCGGACTATATTTCTATTGATTTCAGATTTTTCAACAGAAACTACGTTGTTCAATGGGATCCCAAGTCGGTGGAGAGCAACTTCTGCACCACCAATCCCAGAGAAAAGCGATAAGATGTTGATGCCGTCAGGGAACAAAGGTTTCAGGACAGACAGATGGTATGCCACAGTATTAACCTGCCATAAATAGCAAACAGCTTCTCATTATCACCATTGTAGTCGCTAAATCAACTCTAAAATATCAAGCTATATATGCAAGCAAACTAGCGAAATATTATCTACCAGTAATTCAGGATCTAGTATTGCTAGGAGTAAACTTTCCAGTTTGGGCATAGCAATTCGTAGGAAACAGAGTTTTTTAAGACAGGTGGAAGTAATGCTCACCTGAAATGAGTTGCCAAGTGATTTATATCTGTCAGTCCTACTAATCCCACCTCCTCTAGTATGATTCCTGGGGAAACCCAACAGCAACTCAAATTCATCAGGTTCCAAGGGGGCAACCTTGTTTCTTCCTACCCACAGCAAATTCCACTTCTTGCATTGATCAATTACATACTTCTTGACATGCTCAGGTGGCTCCCCATCATATGCTTCAACAGCCTTGCGAATCCTATCCTGCAACTTTGCACTCCCAATTGCTGTTTGCAAGCAGTTTAAATATGTTCGTGAATCCCATGATGGCCACCATCTCTTGGTCAGGGGAAATGTTTCTTCTATGTTGAGGGGCAAAAGTGGACGAAGAGAGAATCTGTTTTGAATTGGTAGGTTATGGACATATCCTCTTTTTCTTGCAGCAGCACAAAAATACTTCGAATCAACAAATTCTGGCTCCACATAATACAAGCACTTTGATATTTCATCCCATACACCCTTAGGAGTGAGTGCAACATTCTCGTAATAAAAGTATGGTGGGCCTAGTGCTTGCTCTGGAAGAGTTCTTTCTCTTACAATACTTGATTGATCATCTGTAGGTAGACCAAAACCTACCATGGGTTTTGGCAGGCGAATCATCTCACTATCTTCTCCTACCATGCCCCTTTGCTTTTTCCTGTTATCCAGCTCAGCATACAGCCTCCTCTTCAATTTTCCATTTTGACTGCAGGTATAATTTGCCTTTGGCTTTGAAAGTGAAATGGAAAAAGCATCAGTTTGAATTAGATTAGTTTTTGGGAGTGCTGAAAGCAAAAGGGCAAAAACATCAGTGTAAATTAGATTAGTATAACTGGAACAGTAGCACTTGGAGATGGAAGAAGAACCTTAATCTCAGCAGGCAGGTCTGGAGCTTCTGCCCTTGCTATTTGAGCCGCACAAATGAAATCGGTTAATACAGCAATTGAGGCATCTGGACCTATAGCATTGTCAAGTAGAAATTCACAAAGAGGTCTACAATAAAATAAAATACAGCAGCAAGGATACAAGTGAATAAGCGATTTCTTAATCATGACATAAGATCTGTCACCCATAGGAAGCAATTGGCACCAGCAGAAAGTTATCACCTTTTAGCAAAGAACTCAATATCCAATCTACCCAAATTAATCCACTTAAAGCCTCAAGAATAAATAAAGCCATGAAAGCAAATGTTCGATCCAAAAGTGTCCTTTCTGAAAGAAGTATCACTTGTTAAACCAATACATGATACAAAGTTCAGAAAAATCAGTTATCTGAATAACAGGAAACTACCGGTAACTTCTTTTCAGGGATAGTCTCATTTAACATAAAATCATTTCAGAAAGATATGGCCCTGATTAAGATGCAGGACTGTATTTGCATCGTTTGGTGATATGATCTTTCACTAAATGTCATGCAGTGGCCAATGTTAAAACCAGTTTTGTTCTGGCAACAAAATAGTCTCTTATGAACCGATCAGAAGTTGAAAGAACATGATAACACCTGCCTTCCAAAAACACAACAAAAACTCACATCTGAATATTCTATGTTACTCCAATTTAACATTTAGATTTAGTATTTGCACCTCAAGATGACTAAGCAAACTTTCACATCCATGCACAGGCTGGTCACCCTCATGTTTTAAAAGCTAAACGCAAAATCAATTATTCTAGAGGTCAATTTCAATTAAAAGTGAGTTTGCATACATTCATGCCATGTGCAATGTGCTGTAATCTGTAAACTGAAGGTCATTAATTTTTATTAGTTAAGCCAATTAGAAAATCCTTTTTCACTCTAATCAAAGATTAACCACCCATTTGGTTGGGAGGTTTCCTACCCCTCAATGGGAATAGACGGGCAATAATTCCCTTTCATTGTGCTTGGTACACCGCAATAGGATTCTCCATTACCCAATTTTGGGTCTTCCAATTCCCAAAACCCATTACCTAGTAATTTGGGCACTATCATCCCCATTACCGACATTGTACAAGAAGCTAAAAAATAAAAGCAAATTCCAATTAGAAAAATCATGGAAATACTACCTCCTCCCACCTCCCACCACTGATGCCTCTTCTCATCTCCCAAGGTTTCCCTTCAATGGCCGCCTCCCACCTTCCACAGCTGCCGCCTCATCCTACCCGCCACCTATCCTTTTAATCTGTAGAAACTCTCTCCCTCACCTCTATCTTTCTGCCATCTCCTCCCCTCCCATTCTATTTCATCCCTCTCTTTTCTCCATGATTGCTTCATCTTTTATTCTCTCTCTTGGTCTTGATTCATAGTGGCAGATGGTTTACAATTGTTCTTGGGTATTTCAATTTTGATAATTTGAGTTTATTTCAATCAAAATTGAAAATTTTAATCATGGCTTATAGTTGAGTTTGGGATTTTTGGTTGTGAAAAAATTGATTTGTTAAGAGTAAGATCCATATTTGGAGATTTGTTTTGGAAACCCAAGAAAGAAAAATTGGTGTTCTAGTTTTCTAATATGCAATTTGGCCTTTGGGGGTTGAAGATTGGTTATTTGCTTGGCCATCAGTGAGGGTGGCAGTGCTTGAAGTGGATGAAAAAGAAACAGAGGAGATGAAGTGGAAGGAAAAGAAAAAGAGGAAAAAAAAAAAAGCAAAAGGGGTTAAAAAAAATTAAAAATGAGAATTGATTCTCATTCCATCACAGATACCAAACACAAGTTTTTACAAAAAGGAATCTTGATAAATTCATTGCTATTGAAGGGATATTTCAGAGTGATTGTCATTGTCATTCTCTAATCTGAACCAAATGGGTGGTAAGTCATTTGAAATGCTAAAACAGAAAAGAAATTAGCATTACAAAATACTCTAAATCTTAGCCATACAAATGGTAAACAAATTTGTAACTGCAAATGAAACAAGTAACTATTATTATTTCTAAACATCTTTGATATATATTCTTTAGACACTGAAATACTCCAAAGTCCACATAATATTAGAATAAAGCCAATGTTGAAGATTAAAAGTTCAAGTTTCTACGAAGTGGCAACAGCATAACATATTTTTCTGAGAAGCTTTTATTTCAAGAGAAAAAGGGCCGTAAAAGTGAAAGGATTTCTAAAACTAGTACGAAAAATCTCTTCTCTTAGATAGCAACCCAATAGGAAGAAGTTTAGCTCCTACCAAAACATAAGTAGATAACTCACAAACTAGGAAAGTTCAACCATTAAAACCCAAAAGAAAATTGTCAAATTAGAAACTGATCTGAAAGATCCTCAAGACTTTTCAACCAGAGCAGGGATATAAAATGCACATCAGGCACTGTCAGTGATTAACCATAAACAGAATAAGGGTTCATTCAGCTACAGCTAGAAATGTGTGAACAGAGAATTGATATGAGCAGTGAAAGCAGTAGTAGTATAAAGGTGCTAAGATAGACAGCCTAGATTTTACCAGCAAATGAAATCTATGACATGCACAAGCTAGAAGCCTGATGGGGTCAAAGATAATGTTGCTAAGAACAAGTTGTTAGGTCCTGTCATTAATTATGTCTTAACATCTCAGCCACTGTGCCAATGAGTTATATCAATAAAAAGAAACTATTATAGAGGATGATTAACGGTGTAGCATCAGAGACTGACTATTCATACGAAGCTTGACCGCCAGGTTATCAAAAAGAAGAACATAAAGGACCACAAAGAGTGAAAAAGGAAGTCAAAACACAAGTCTGAAATATAACAAATTAACATGAAAAATCATTCTTAACTAAAGTACCCAACATTGTACCAGAATTGGGAGATAACTCAGACTAATCCCACTTCCAAATGCAATGCAGGAAAAACATCAAGGCAAAGGAACAAAAAGAGAAGGTTATTTTACACATCCAACAAGAGTTCCAAAAATTAACAACCTACAGTAAACAAGATACAGAGTTGCACCTTTAAAGATTCTCAGCAAATATATCTTTTCTTGTTACTCACGTAGTTACTAATATCAGCATAACTAAATAAACACAACATGATTATGAGCAAAACAGTAAACAAAGTAAAGAAGTATTAGTATATGCACCACATCTATGCATAGCTTCTGTCGCCTCATCAACAGAGTATCCCATTTTTTGTAAGGTTTGCAATTTTTTCTCCGACTCGGACAAATCATCAGAATTTTCCTGCAAGGATTTTCTTTTATTAGACATAGTAATCATACTCTTGAAAGCCTTGGAAAATTTTCACACAAAATGCTATAAATAAAGATGAATAACTTCTAGAATTTTAGAAAGGCTGACAATGATGTGTAGGTTTATGAACCGGAAGCCTTTGAAGAATCTGGAAAAATGTCCAGCAAAACCGTTTGAAAAGAGGAACAACAATCTTAAACATCACACTACATTCAGGTATACCCTGAACTACTGTCTTCTCTGGAGCACTATAATGTCTATTATATTGTGAATTTCATTTCAGAGGATTGTGGTTCAGAAATCTCAAAAGAAAAGGTCTTGCATTTGGTGCTCGTTATGTATTCCGATGCTGGTTAACCAAATATGAGAATATAAAAATATAGAATAAAATTTTATTCATACTCTAATTTGCTGGAATCATTATAAAAGAAACAATAACTCACCCAAGAATTAGTTTGAAAACATAAAAGGATAATTTTAATTTCATAATGATATGATAAGCATACTATATAATCACCTCTGGTGTACTAATAACAGACATCAAACGGGGGAAATAAAGATAACATTCGAATCAGGAAATCCTTCTATTGAGAGATGACACAATGAGATTATATTTTTGTCAACTTAAAATTTGAAATCCTATGATCTGAGGCTTGGTTCTATAACTTTGATGTGTATAACTCAAAGTCATGTCTTACATTTATTTGAATCAATTTTAGGCATAATACTGTAATCATATATTTTCCAATCAATTGAATGGTTCACCAACCATATATTGATGCAAAATTTTCTCTTGATAATTCTCTTAATTATATACATAAGATACCCAGAGCATGGCCTAAAAGTTACATTCTTGAAGCTTTCTTAGTAGCTTTGGTGGTGCTGTCCAATATACTGTAAAATTTAGTCGAAAGCTTTGAAATTTTTTCCCAAGTAGCTTTCTCATTTTTTACTGATTTATTAGCTTTCTTCCAAGCAAGAAATAGCATAAAAAGAGCAGTGCAGAAATCGATTTTGAGGAGGAAATGGCTGTAACTAGAGAATCATTCTGCCGTTTTAAAAAGCTTCCAAGTACTTATCCTATATACTTAGACTAGAGGGCTACCTATGCATCTGAGCTAAAATTCATGCAAGGAAGGGCCAGCAATACATTTACAAGTGCAATCCAAGTCACAAGCAATTGGACCAGTTTTACAGATGATGGAGTCCCTACAGATTGAGAAACAGGGAAAAAATTGTTGGCTATCAAGCGTAACTGTGGTGAACTTTGAATATTCTTACTCGATATCCAAACACATATATCATGAACACTGCTCACTGGAATGGCTTAGATGAGATAGAAGTAAATTCTTTTGGATATACCATGTTAATCATATGAACCAAGACTCTTTTGTCCATTATAAAACTAAAACACATAAGTTGTTGACAATGGCACCCAACAGATTGAAGGAAATTGTCACCCCACACACAATTGGTTCAAAATCTAGTATTACACAAGGGCACTATATAAATGGACAAAAAAGAGAACTAAGAAAGAACAGGACAAGTATCACAAACCTCATCATCATCATCAGACCAGCTATCAATATCTGAATCATGAAGAAGGCTCTCATCATAACCAGAAGTGCTCTGATCAGAGTCAATACAGCCATGCTCTTCACTGGAATTCTGAAGTTCCTGCAAGAAAAAGTCAAACCATGAATCTCTGAAGGACTACAAATCTGCGTGCAGCAAATTATTGCCATTGAATCAGCCAATAGAGAATCCCATTCTTCAGGAAAGTTTTCATCTGTGAATAACACATGTGGGATGTTTTACTATTCTTCTCATTCTAATGACTACCATACTTGACTGCTAAAAGCACAAGAAGCCTTCATAGAATATTATAAGCATTTTTCTCTGACTCTTTGAATTTTCTGTGTCTACACTGGAAAATCAAAAGCCTAGTGCAATTATTTCATTTGTTAATCAAACACACTGCAGCCTTAAAAAGTCAGCTTGATCATTTTAATTTCAATGCAATCAGAACCAGAAGTAGCCTAACTCATTTAACACTCATACTTGAAAACTTTAATAATGTAGAGTACAAGTTGCATATTCATGGTTTTATAAATTTCAAACTAGTTGCCTTTCATCATTGTTGGACAAAGAGCACCAAACAACATACCTCTGTAATAAAAGATCCTACATATGAAAGAAAGAATGCCTTAATGGTCTTAAACTTCTCATTCCAATGAAAAGGAATAAGAGTGTATGCACCAGAAGTAGCTCTAGCATTACCATTAGAGGGAGAAAGGCACAGAACCAAGCATCACAAGAAAATTGGTAAAAGAATAATCATGTAAAAACTCAAAGCAGAGAGACATAGAAATACCAAAACTATAAAAGTAATATTTTTTAAATCATGACATGCATCAGTCACCAGAAAGAAATAAAGAAAACGACAGAAAATCTACAGTATACGGACACAAGTATGTAAAGTAATGAATGAAAATTATTTTTCATGGATTGAATATCTGGGTACTTAGATGAGAAATTTAAGCAAGCAGTATGAGAAACACACAGGTCTTTGTAGCAAACAGATTATTTTTAAAAAACACTGTTCAATCTAGCCAAGTGCAACATTAAATCACTTCAAAGTAGACTATGTCAGATGCAATCAAGCAATTTGTAATACTTCTATACCACAAACAGATATTAGCAGGGGAGCCAATCAGTTTGCAAAATTGATGCCTTGCATGCTGAATAGCCAAACCATGATTCTTATAAAGCTGCAGATGCGTCTGACATGGTAAAGTTTACATTAAACAAATACTTCTCCCAGAATTTGCTCCTCCTAATCATGTGTAACAATCAATATTGATGTGGAAGACAAGAAAAATAAGCAGGCACAGAGATGTGCTGACACAGCACGCACCCACCCAAAGACTGTAACCTACGATAAACATGATGAAGCAATGAGTAGTAAGTCTCAATGGTGCTGACATCACTCACCAAGTATGTAAGAACCGTATCTAGTATTTTCCCTTCGGAACTGCCTTCTCCTGTACATTTAATAAACAATGTCACTAGCAAAACTTTGAAAGATGAACATGATTCTCTACATGGAATAGAAATGTAGATACCAATTTCTTCAATTGCTTTGACCACCAATTTATCTGGAAATCCCATCCCTACGAAATGCTGAATCAACTTGGAATTGGAAGAATGAGCAGATGAGCTTTCCTATGGACAAATAGGAGGTAAGAATATTAAGGTTGGGCATAAAATAATACGATAAATAATTATGTTGTGCCACAGCCGTTAATACAATTCACACAATTATTTATCACTTTGTACCCGAAAACAACAAAAGAAGTGTTTATTAACTCTACTATCAATGGAAAAGTTTAAAGCATATACCTCGCCATTGCAAACAATTGTCACACCACCAGGAGTGGGCAAGTTCGAAGTAGAAATTGGTATTTCTGAAATTTCTAGTTCATCTTCAGTATTCCAATCAATGTCACCAAAGTCATCCCCAGACGCATTACTCTCCTGAAAAGAAAGAACAATACACAGCATAGAAATTGAAGTAAAAAAGTTTTTCTAATTGCTGCTTCTAAGTCTCCATGGGCTTGTCTCGACAGCTTAAATTCAGCTGGAGTTGCAGCACTCCTTTTAAGAAGCTTTTTTTATGAAACTAAGCATTTTGACAGTGTCTGATGATCATCTTCCGATAATTCTAGGACTAGAGCACTTTAATCAGCAGAACTTTTTGCACAAACTAATATTTTGTAGGTTTGAGATAACTATTCAGTTTAAGAAATTAAACATAAAGTTTGACTATTTTACTGCAACATTAAGAATACGACTATGCATAGAATCAGTTATTAAGAATTAAAACCAAAGACTAGTAAGTAAAAATAAGTACCTAGTGCAAGTAATATCCCGAACACCCACATTAAGCACTTCACTGAGAAATCCAGTAGCAAAACTACTTAGTACAAACCATTACAAATCCCAAATTGGGCTTAGGAATTAATCTTGAGTTGTGTTCACCTGCTTTCAGCTTTGTCTTTTAGCTTGTTTTATTTATTTAATCCTAGAAATGGTAAAAGCTGATTTACAGAAGCACCCAATTGTGATTATTAAAGCAGCATGCACTTCAGCAAGAAGCCACCAAAGCAATGAGAATATACTTCAGCAAGAAGATTACTAAACAAGAATTTCTAAACAATTGAGCAACATTTTACCATTTCTCGAGAATTTTCAAGAATCCCAAGTCAATATCTCCTCAATAGCAAATTCCCAACCTGTTCACTGACAATAAAAACGAAAGAACAGAAGGGTCAACAATAAATTCCCAATACAAGTCAAAGCGTGTTTCCCCCCTTCTTCTTCACAGGGATATTCATAAATTACCATCTAATCTGAAAAGCTCAAGCTTAAACAAAATTGCTATTTCCTATCCGAATCGCTGCATGCTGGTCAGAATTTTTACAGAAAAAGTGCTGGCCTTCTTTTACATGAGTATACGAGCCCTTCTTTTAATTAGTTCTTTCCTTATCAAACAAACAAGAATCTTTTTGATTTAACAAAATTACAAGACAATTAAAATTATCAGTTAATTACCAATCATCCCAAATTCACTACAAAACTGATGTAATAATTTATCAGACAAAAACAAAATCCAACCCAGCAAAATTTAGCTCAGGAAACAGATAGAAAACGTGATCTTGACTTGAATACTTTTGTATACTTCAACAATGTGGGAGTACTACTAATCTGCATTCATAACGAAACAAAAAACCCCCGAAAAACCCATTAAAAAGAACTGAAAATGAATGAGAAAAAACAGTTTTCCAACCGTAAACAGGGCAATACATTTACAAGTGCAATCCAAGTCACAAGCATTGGACCAGTTTTACAGATGATGGAGTCCCTACAGATTGAAAACAGGGAAAAAATTGTTGGCTATCAAGCGTAACTGTGGTGAACTTTGAATATTCTTACTCGATATCCAAACACATATATCATGAACACTGCTCACTGGAATGGCTTAGATGAGATAGAAGTAAATTCTTTTGGATATACCATGTTAATCATATGAACCAAGACTCTTTTGTCCATTATAAAACTAAAACACATAAGTTGTTGACAATGGCACCCAACAGATTGAAGGAAATTGTCACCCCACACACAATTGGTTCAAAATCTAGTATTACACAAGGGCACTATATAAATGGACAAAAAAGAGAACTAAGAAAGAACAGGACAAGTATCACAAACCTCATCATCATCATCAGACCAGCTATCAATATCTGAATCATGAAGAAGGCTCTCATCATAACCGAAGTGCTCTGATCAGAGTCAATACAGCCATGCTCTTCACTGAATTCTGAAGTTCCTGCAAGAAAAAGTCAAACCATGAATCTCTGAAGGACTACAAATCTGCGTGCAGCAAATTATTGCCATTGAATCAGCCAATAGAGAATCCCATTCTTCAGGAAAGTTTTCATCTGTGAATAACACGTGGGATGTTTTACTATTCTTCTCATTCTAATGACTACCATACTTGACTGCTAAAAGCACAAGAAGCCTTCATAGAATATTATAAGCATTTTTCTCTGACTCTTTGAATTTTCTGTGTCTACACTGGAAAATCAAAAGCCTAGTGCAATTATTTCATTTTTAATCAAACACACCTGCAGCCTTAAAAAGTCAGCTTGATCATTTTAATTTCAATGCAATCAGAACCAGAAGTAGCCTAACTCATTTAACACTCATACTTGAAAACTTTAATAATGTAGAGTACAAGTTGCATATTCATGGTTTTATAAATTTCAAACTAGTTGCCTTTCATCATTGTTGGACAAAGAGCACCAAACAACATACCTCTGTAATAAAAGATCCTACATATGAAAGAAAGAATGCCTTAATGGTCTTAAACTTCTCATTCCAATGAAAAGGAATAAGAGTGTATGCACCAGAAGTAGCTCTAGCATTACCATTAGAGGGAGAAAGGCACAGAACCAAGCATCACAAGAAAATTGGTAAAAGAATAATCATGTAAAAACTCAAAGCAGAGAGACATAGAAATACCAAAACTATAAAAGTAATATTTTTTAAATCATGACATGCATCAGTCACCAGAAAGAAATAAAGAAAACGACAGAAAATCTACAGTATACGGACACAAGTATCTAAAGTAATGAATGAAAATTATTTTTCATGGATTGAATATGGGTACTTAGATGAGAAATTTAAGCAAGCAGTATGAGAAACACACAGGTCTTTGTAGCAAACAGATTATTTTTAAAAAACACTGTTCAATCTAACCAAGTACAACATTAAATCACTTCAAAGTAGACTATGTCAGATGCAATCAAGCAATTTGTAATACTTCTATACCACAAACAGATATTAGCAGGGGAGCCAATCAGTTTGCAAAATTGATGCCTTGCATGCTGAATAGCCAAACCATGATTCTTATAAGCTGCAGATGCATCTGACGTGGTAAAGTTTACATTAAACAAATACTTCTCCCAGAATTTGCTCCTCCTAATCATGTGTAACAATCAATATTGATGTGGAAGACAAGAAAAATAAGCAGGCACAGAGATGTGCTGACACAGCACGCACCCACCCAAAGACTGTAACCTACGATAAACATGATGAAGCAATGAGTAGTAAGTCTCAATGGTACTGACATCACTCACCAAGTATGTAAGAACCGTATCTAGTATTTTCCCTTCGGAACTGCCTTCTCCTGTACATTTAATAAACAATGTCACTAGCAAAACTTTGAAAGATGAACATGATTCTCTACATGGAATAGAAATGTAGATACCAATTTCTTCAATTGCTTTGACCACCAATTTATCTGGAAATCCCATCCCACGAAATGCTGAATCAACTTGGAATTGGAAGAATGAGCAGATGAGCTTTCCTATGGACAAATAGGAGGTAAGATATTAAGGTTGGGCATAAAATAATACGATAAATAATTATGTTGTGCCACAGCCGTTAATACAATTCACACAATTATTTATCACTTTGTACCCGAAAACAACAAAAGAAGTGTTTATTAACTCTACTATCAATGGAAAAGTTTAAAGCATATACCTCGCCATTGCAAACAATTGTCACACCACCAGGAGTGGGCAAGTTCGAAGTAGAAATTGGTATTTCTGAAATTTCTAGTTCATCTTCAGTATTCCAATCAATGTCACCAAAGTCATCCCCAGACGCATTACTCTCCTGAAAAGAAAGAACATTACACAGCATAGAAATTGAAGTAAAAAAGTTTTTCTAATGCTGCTTCTAAGTCTCCATGGGCTTGTCTCGACAGCTTAAATTCAGCTGGAGTTGCAGCAGTCCTTTTAAGAAGCTTTTTTTATGAAACTAAGCATTTTGAGTGTCTGATGATCATCTTCCGATAATTCTAGGACTAGAGCACTTTAATCAGCAGAACTTTTTGCACAAACTAATATTTTGTAGGTTTGAGATAACTATTCAGTTTAAGAAATTAAACATAAAGTTTCACTATTTTACTGCAACATTAAGAATACGACTATGCATAGAATCAGTTATTAAGAATTAAAACCAAAGACTAGTAAGTAAAAATAAGTACCTAGTGCAAGTAATATCCCGAACACCCACATTAAGCACTTCACTGAGAAATCCAGTAGCAAAACTACTTAGTACAAACCATTACAAATCCCAAATTGGGCTTAGGAATTAATCTTGAGTTGTGTTCACCTGCTTTCAGCTTTGTCTTTTAGCTTGTTTTATTTATTTAATCGTAGAAATGGTAAAAGCTGATTTACAGAAGCACCCAATTGTGATTATTAAAGCAGCATGCACTTCAGCAAGAAGCCACCAAAGCAATGAGAATATACTTCAGCAAGAAGATTACTAAACAAGAATTTCTAAACAATTGAGCAACATTTTACCATTTCTCGAGAATTTTCAAGAATCCCAAGTCAATATCTCCTCAATAGCAAATTCCCAACCTGTTCACTGACAATAAAAACGAAAGAACAGAAGGGTCAACAATAAATTCCCAATACAAGTCAAAGCATGTTTCCCCCCTTCTTCTTCACAGGGATATTCATAAATTACCATCTAATCTGAAAAGCTCAAGCTTAAACAAAATTGCTATTTCCTATCCGAATCGCTGCATGCTGGTCAGAATTTTTACAGAAAAAGTGCTGGCCTTCTTTTACCTGAGTATACGAGCCCTTCTTTTAATTAGTTCTTTCCTTATCAAACAAACAAGAATCTTTTTGATTTAACAAAATTACAAGACAATTAAAACTATCAGTTAATTACCAATCATCCCAAAGTCACTGCAAAACTGATGTAATAATTTATCAGACAAAAACAAAATCCAACCCAGCAAAATTTAGCTCAGGAAACAGATAGAAAACGTGATCTTGACTTGAATACTTTTGTATACTTCAACAATGTGGGAGTACTACTAATCTGCATTCATAACGAAACAAAAAACCCCGAAAACCCATTAAAAAGAACTGAAAATGAATGAGAAAAAACAGTTTTCCAACCGTAAACAGGATAAAAAATGAGATTGACTTAGATTGCAGAGAAGCATGCAGAGCTAGAATATAGAATCACCGATGAAGAAATCGGCGGGCAGTGAATTTTGAGTGAGGGAAATTGCCAAGAGGTTTAGGAGGGAGAGAAACTTACAAAGAGGGAGCAGAGAGAATCAAATTCGGCAACAATTATGCAAAAAGATTGAAAGGAAATATTACAGTCCAAGCTGAAAAATTTTTGTGCGCTACTGAAACGGAAAACGCACTCTTTTACATGCACACGCGCATATGTTCAAAATTCTGCTCTCACGCGCCACTGCCCTTCGATGGGTTCTAAAAAAAATTTTTTTCCTTAACATTTATTGTTAATATTACTCTTGATAGTTGCAATTTGATGCCTTTAGGAGCTCAGAAATAGGTACATCAGTAATTAAAAATTTTTTTAGATTTATATATATATATTTTAAATTATTATTATATTATACATAAATAATTGATATATAAATATGTTGTGACACTTAACATTGCATAAAGCAAAAGCGAGTAAGATGAAATCTATACTCCGAGCGTGTGTAGTAGCGCTGCCCCTTTCTTTGCTGCTGGCACTATTCATGATAAGGCCTGACCGATTGCATGCTTTTGTCATGGGCTTTGTTTGGATTCATCTGTTCAATAGTGGAGTGATGTCACAATATGAGAGGCTAGCTGTATGTCACTAAAGTTTTTATTCATTGAAGATTTAAATTAATATTCGATGAGTTAATAATTTATTATTTATTTTAAAATTTTAATAGTTAAATATTAGACAAGAGAAATGTATGTCAATTTTTTTAGTTATATGAAAAATAAAAATAAAATATCCCTACTAAATGGTAAAAGTGCTTTAAAATGCATTGATCGATTCTGTGTGCAAAAGGGTTCCTTTTATCAAATTTTTAGAAACTATTAACTCAACGTGTATAATTTTGGTGAAGGATTCCTTAAACAACGGCTGTGGAATATATTTGTCACACGAACAATAAATTTTACATCATGGTTCCAATGTCCATTATTGGCACTATATTTTTCTACTACCATATTTGCCTTGGATTTGTGTTTTGTCTTTTTTTTTTTTAAACACTCTCAGCTCCACTTTTCACGTCTTTTTTATCCCAACTGTCAGATAGACCAACTCTGACAGTTTGTTTTACTCACCTTAAACAATATCATTTTTTTTTTCAAATACAAAAAAAAAAGGTTTTTAAAATAGGCTTCTCAAGGGGAAAAAGAAATCCTAGCTAGTGTCTTTTCTCAATTGTTCAACATCGATGACATGCTTCTAGTCAAAAGGCCATCACCACATGACTATTTGTTGTGGTTGTAATGCTATTAATATGGCAACAATGGCTTTTTTAGGCATTATGAGCATCATAATACCTTTTTTATTTGCAAAAGATGGTAAGCATACTCGTAATAAGGTCTATCATCATTTAATAAGCACATCCAGTGTGTAATGTACACATTAGGAACTCAGAAAAATAGGTGTTAGCCTGCATTGGGTTCTTCCTTTTCTTTCTTTTGGTACCTTTACTTGCAAAAGTTTTTAAATGCTGCACCAGAATCAACAATTAGGTCATCATTATGATGGAATTTATGTATTTCAGTGGTGAAACAAAAGAATGAAACTCAAAACTGAGAAAAGTAACATTTGATCAAAATAAATGTTAAAATTTGCTTTGTTCGTGTAATATCGGCTATTAACAATTTAGATTTGTTCTCAATTGTAGATTAATCTTTTATAAATTATTAATGTACAAAACCATTTGCACTGAAATTTTTTAGGAGCCTATATTGTCTAGTAATCGAGCGCACTCGTCAGAAAAATTTTATAAATTAAATTAAATAGAAAATTAATTCATTCAATTATATGAGTGTGTGGTGGCCACTGGACACAACCCACTGAAAACTTTTCCCAAGACTTGACATTTGTCCCTACCACATATCAAGACATCTCACTGTTTTGTGTTCTTATCTTGCTGCACTATAAAGTACTCCTACAGTAGACTAGGCTCCACTTGGATTGTATTTTTTTAAGAGTGTTGAGCTTTTTAAAAAAAAAAAATATTAAGCTCTCCTCCTCTCCTTTTCACCAACTTTTTTCTAATTTTTCTCATCCTTTTAGAAAAGTCTTCCTCTTTGGGAGGGAGATTGATTATTTTATTTTTTTAATCCTACTAAATTTTTTTAGTGACAATTCTTAGTTTCTCTTAAGGATTACTAATGAGAATTTTCCATTTCTCCTAGGGGTTTCTAGTGAAAATTTCCTTTTTTTTTTCTTCATTTATTATTAAATTTGAATTGATTTCAAACTGATTGTTAGATTTGAAAATTTTTTGGATCTTAGGTCTCTCTGGACAGATTTTAGCATCATTATTTGAACTTAAATCCACTGATTAGCAAATCTAATTATTGCAATATGCACATAAGGGAGTTGTAGTGATTTATCTTGTTAGAAGACAACTTGAAAATTTATTATATTTTAGATATGTTCAAAAAAAATTTAAATCTATTGTATCTATTAAATTACAGATTTGATCTGCTATTTTTAGTCCATGTTTAACATACTATTAGGGTAGCAGTGTAAATGAAATCGTGTTGGATGATTTTTCAATAATTGCTTAATGAATTTTGCATTTATCAAAGATAAAAGAAAAGAATTTTGCTTGAATGTGTTTGTAGTACTTTACGCCTTGTTTGGATTGCTTGTTTCCGTCGAAAAATATTGTCATTTTTCGTGATCACATTTCCCTATCACCTTTTTCCCTCACATATATCAAATCGCTACAGTAATTTTTCCATAAAAAATGACGGAAAATGCAATCCAAACATTAATAAATGATGGATTAAAAAGTCAAAAATTATTTGTAAAGTAATAATCCTACTACTATAATCCTAAAGAAAAAAAAATATAAAAGATAGTGTAAAAAGTACATTTAAACTAGAAATAGATGTAACTAATGAGTGCAATATGTATTAGTATGATAATATAAACTACAAACTTGTGGAGCACATTGAAGTCTAGCATCATTAACCTAATCCTCATCACATTATGCCGGCATAAAATGTAGAGCTTCTTTTATTTTACACTTCAAATTCCTTGGATAATCACAAGAGGAATAGAGTTGAGGGGCTACATTAATTATTAGATCTTGAAAACAAGAACAAGAGTAGCCATAGAAATAGATTAAAACTTTTTTTAAGGCCTAAAACAGCAAGAAATGGTAAATCTTCAACAATCAAGCTGTAATGATAACGTGCATACATTAACATTCACCACACATTAAAACCGCAGTCAAATCCGTTTGCTTGGAATTTTGAGAGGGAACTTTTGAAGGGGCTTAGAGGAGGGAGAAACGAAGGAGACGCAGCTCCAGATCTTCCTTCACGCGCCATAAGCTTTATATGGGCTTTCAGATGACGTCACCCTTTTCCAGAATGAGATAGTAGAGGTAACAAATTTTCAGTAGTGATTTAAGACTTGCTTATTACTAAAGGTTTCTTAATACAAAAAAGAGATTTATACACTGTCTGCTACTGCTCTCCTTGAGAAATCGATAAATTTTTTAGCCGAAGAAATGAGATTTTCTTTAGCTTTTTAAATTATGATTAGTATAAATAAAAGACGATGTGACGCTCAACATTGCACGAAAAGGAGAGTAAGATGAATTCTATACTCTCGTCGGTGGTGTGGTGCGATTTTACTGTCACTCTTTTGCCGGCGGGCACTATTAATGATAAGTTTGACCAGTTAAAAGCTGATGTCAGGCTGCGTTTGGATTGAAGAATTAAATAATACTCCATTGAGAAAAAGGGTGTGGAGTTTGGTGAATGTAATTAGATTATATTATGGTCCAATCATCCATCAGCATCCAATACTACGAGGCCAGTTAAATGTGGGGTATTTAGCCAATGGACATTTTATGAGTTTGGTTAACTGTTAAAATTTAAGACAAAGAAGGGATTCATTGATCCAGGAAGCAAATTTGACACGTTTACTAATTGGAATATCAGAGCAAAATAGTTTTCTTTTGGAGCAGTGCTAAGAACAAAAACATGGATATATCTGCCTTGGTAGCCTGATAGTGTAAAGTTTGGTAGATCAAGACAATTTCTATATTATCTGTGTTCTGGCAAACAATTTGAAATCTTATATAAGATGGAAAATTTTGAGGAAAGAGTATAATGAAGCATAGTTGCATAGGCAATATGCCCTGCTAATTTTTTTTTTTTTTTTTACTTTATATTATTCAACCACTATGAATAGAAAAAAGAGTACTATATGAGAAACATAACATGTTACGGGTGTAAGACCCAAAAAATTGACATGTAGGTTGATTATTTTGATAGAGGCTATGGGCATTTAAAAAAAAAAAAAATGATTCAAGTGCTCAGCAGAGTGAACATTGGCAGGACCAATTCACTAAGCAAATTTATAGGTTTGGACCTAGGGCAAATTCTTAAATCTTGGAAGGAAATTTTTTGGCATTGCATATTAGCACCCCAAGGAGAATTGTATTGGAATTCAAGAAATGAGTACTCAAAAAATTCAATATCACTACTTTTTAAAAGTAAAATTAGAATTCACTATAGCAGTAAAAAGCTGTCCCAAACTTGTTAGGATGTTTTTACATGTTGGACCACGCCCCATTTAAAGGCACCTGGTCATGATCCTGTCACTTAATATGATTTTTTTTTTTTTTTTTTTTTTATCAATTGTCATTCCTACTTCTACTTCTATTCTAACTACGGAGGACGCTCAACTGAACCTACGGGGAACCGATGGGGACAGAACCATCACCGGATCAGATGGATACACTACATCACCAGATCAGACGGGTACACTACACACCTGTCTGGATTTGAAGCAGAGCCACAAGAATGGCATTTTGGTTGGAGGCAAGGTTTCAAACTTTACCTCCCACTCCACCAAAGCCTTAAGGGTTTGGTGGTGGCCACCAGCCCAAGAGCTGGTGGTTGTCACTTAATATGAATTGAGGGATGCAGATTATTTAGAGTTACAATGCAATTGCAAGAATTTTTAATGGCTAAGATCAGTCTATCCAACCTCGAACTGATTTCAACTATCGATTCGAATGGGCCAATCTCAAGTGTTAAAAGTGCTAGATCTCGCCTTATTTAAAAACATCTGATCATGATCCTGCCACATATTATGAATTGAGGGATGCGGATTTTCTACCGTTGCAGGTGCAAACTGCGAGAACTTTTTAATGGCCAAGATTAGCCCATTCAACTTCGCATTGATATTAGTTGTTGATTCGAATAGGCCAATCTTAGGGGTTAAAAGTGCCAAACATCCTTGCATTTGTACTTACAACCGCAAAGGATGCAGATCCTCAATTGGGAGTGATTTTTCTACAATTGACAGGATGCAAATTCTCTATGGTTATAGGTGCAATTGCGAGAACTTTTAATGCCCAATTCATCGAATCTTGAGATTTCGACTATTGATTTTTTAATGAGTCAATCTCGACCGTTAAAAGTACTCATCCATCACAGCTAGGTGTGTGATCCGGGTCGACCAACGGATTAATCAGGGCAAAACCCTGAATACCGTGGTAGGCAACCAAAAAAAAAGGATGCAAATCTTGAATTGGAATTGGTTTTTCTTATAGATGACTCAAAATGATATAAAAACATAGGTGTAGCTTTTTTATTTTACCTTTTAACTTTGAAGTACACATTAAGATACCCAAATTTCACTTAATTTATTATGTGAAAGCACACACTTGCATTCCTTTCAGCCCTTATATTTAGACGTTTTTCTAAATTAGTTTTATTCTTACCAAAAAATTAACTCCTGAACCTATCTTAACTGCTGAATTTGTCAAATGATAATAGTTTCTACGTCTCTTTTGTACATGTGTCGTACATCCAACCGTAATAGTGTATACACTGTTAGTGCATATAAGATTTACTCTTTACAATATCACAACAAATCCACTAATTGATTACAACTTAATATGTTAATAGCTGATATATATATATATATATTAAATTATGAATTATTTATCATTTTTGTTAGCTAAGTTATTAGTTATTCATCTACTTTTGCGGTCACCGATGTTTGTGTGTTTGTAGGGTATCAAGTATTTGTTCGATGGAGATTTTGGAAAGAAATGCATTTTTAACCATTCAGCTTCAGCAAAAACTTCTAGATCCAAAATGTCCTACTTTGCAAATCTGATTTAGAAAAATCCCTATGTACTTGCACATACATGCCCTGTTTTAATTAAAACCGAAAAGTTCATTTACCCAGTATCCAAAAAACAAGCGCTTCTAAGATAGTAGATTGCTTGAGATCAATTCCGTCTTTCACAAACAATGGTTAGGCCAATCAAGCAATTTAACAATTCATGCTTTTCTTTTTGGATAACCATAGAAATAATGTCCCAAATCATTTTCCTAAGGGGAAAACAAAAATGTTTTGATAAATCTCCATGAACAAGAAGCTCATACCGTTTGATTCCCTAGAGAAATACTTTGTGTGAAAGTCCACCAGCACTGACTTTGGGAGCTGCATCAGTGATTCAGTTTTAAACACTCTAAAAGGAACATTAAAGCTACAAAAATAGAACAGCAATTACTTCCATCCTCCCAATTAACATAAATGGCAGACAAAACAGACTTCCTTTTCTCTTTTCCCATGAAAAGAAAATGTACTGGCTTTAACCATCATCTTAGAATAAAAACCTATTGATCAAACACTTCCCCTGTTATAATTCTAATACATTTGACATGTGTTGCAATAGCAGAAGAAACTAAAGAGAAGAGTCACTTTCTATAATCTATCTATTCATGTCTTTATTAAATAGTTTCATGATGCTACAAAAAAATATTGTTATAAGTCTACTACATTTGACATCTGTTACAACAGCAGAAGCAACTAAAGAGAGGAGTCACTTTCTATAATCTATCTCTTCATGTCTTAAAATAGTTTCATTATGCTACAAAAAAATATATTTCTTTCCTTTTCTTCCTTTACAGCCCAACTTTCCTCCAGAAAATAAAGCTAAAACTATGCATACCAATTTACAGTTCTATGCAGGGATGATGATGAATTCTACATAAAAAAAAAAGCTGCAATATTAGCTTGAATCTATTTGAATTTCAAGCTAATAGAAAAACCAGCTTGGTTGAGCAGTTGAGCACACAGGAGGTCCTTGTAGCTTTGTCCCAAGCTTTGCTGACAATTGCAACCTTGAAGCAGTTCTATCTTTCTAGGAACCTAAGCCACAACACTACACAGATACGACCACTGAACGAGTACCATTCAGCACCAATCCATGTAAAAAAGCCCTTCACGAGATCCAATCCACACCCCCCATTCATGTTTCTGCCAGTAATCTTGGTCATCTAGTAATTCACCAGGTGTTCTTGCAAGATCTATCAGTGAGTCCCAAAAGAGTTAATCAGAATCCAGTCAATATGTATGTATGTGTACATTCACAGATAGGCACAAGTGTATATGTATCTAAATCACATAACATACACACACACAGATTATACCAGTATTTACTCAAATAACAGATTACACACAGATTATACTTTTGGATGAAGCAAGAAGTCAGTACATACCTCTCTTTGGCTTAAAGTTTATTAAAGTTGTGTACCTCTATTTGGAATCTACAATCTAAGATTGTCAACTTTAAAATTCTACTGCCACCAAATAATGATTGTTAGAAATTTAAAAAACAGCAAAATTTTGAGGATAAGTTGGCAGTACCTGCAGGTTTTGCCCAACAGACAACTGAAGGCACTGAACTCATGAATCGATTCTCAAAAAGCATTTCCCCAGATTTGATACTCCAAAGCCGCATTTTGCAGTCCTCACCACCTAACAAGAAGACCTTAAAATTTTTATTTCAAATTCATAATAAAAAATATGCACACATTTAAAACCAATCACCTGACATAACAAATCTCTCTGTTGGGTCTACTCCAAGTTGTATGCGAGTATGAGAATTAACATATCCTTCATAAGATTGAACAGCACCTTTTTGGATCAGACGTTGATCATAAAGCTTGATCTAAAAAGAAAGAAGACAGTGCAAGCAAGATAAATTCTAATTTGCCTTGCCGACAAAGCAATTACCACAAAAACATTTCAATAATTCAGGAAAATAAGGTTAAATTTAAGGGTTAATCACATTTAATCCCCTTAAAGTATACCCCATTTCTCAGTTTACCCTCTAACCTTTAATTTTGCTCACTTAACCCCCTATAGGACAAAATTACCCTTGCATTATTTTGACTTTTCATTTACCTTGTTTTCCTTTCTTTTTCTTTTCTTCTTTATTAATTCTTCCGTTTTCCCAGAAAAATCTTCACCTTAATGATTGAAATTAAAAAAGAGGAATTGCAGAGATCTATCTTCTCCTTAAATGATTAAAAAATATCCAAATCACTTTCCTAAAATAAAATTTTTTTAGCCTTTCAATTCTTTTAATTTTGGGTTTTTCTCTTTCCTTTCTAGTTTCTTATTTTTTTCCCAAGAAAATATCTTAAAATGAAATTGTGACCTGATTAATAATCATCAATTGAAATTTGTGACACATGGCATCATACAAAAAATCAAAATTAGTTTTTGATACCTTTAAACTTTCACCCAGAAATATGCAATTACACACTCAAAACAAAAATTTTCGTTGAAATGGAATTTTCTATTGGGAAGGATGAAAGAGAGAAGAAAAGAGAAAAAAGAAATAGAAAGGAAAACAATTTCATCTTATGATATTTTCTTGAGAATAAAATGAGAAACTAGAAAAGAAAGAGGAAAATCCAAAATTAAAAGAATTGAAAGACTAAAAAAATTGTATTTTAGGAAAGTGATTTGAATATTTTTTTAATCATTTAAGGAGAAGATAGATCTCTACAATTACTCTTTTTTAATTTCAATCATTAAGGTGAAGATTTTTCTGGAAAAGAGGAAGAAATAAATAAAGAAGAAAGAGAAAAAGAAATAAAAGAAAGGAAAACAAGGTAAATAAAAAGTCAAAATAATGCAAGGGCAATATTGTCCTATAGGGGGTTAAGTGAGCAAAATTAAAGATTAGGGAGTAAACTGAGAAATGGAGTATACATTAAGGGGATTAAATGTGATTAACCCTAAATTTAATAATTAAAACCTGACGAACAAATGAGGATGTAGACCAAAAGCAATCATATCCCATTTTCACAAGAAACAACTCCATCCTTGTGTAACAGGCAAATTGATTTCAGAAGAAAATCATGATGAACATAGACGAGCAGCTTCCACAGTACAAACAGAAAACTTCTCATAGACATGGCAATAGTCCCAGGCGTTCCAAACTGAATGGCTTTCCATTCATATCAAAATCAAAGCCTAGTTAACTGAATTGGTGGACAAAGTGATGAACAGTTATTGCGTTCTTTAAATTTGTAGACATAGTGAAGCAACGTGCAACTATGCATAAGGTCTCTACAAATTGTTTTTAATTGTCCTTCCTTAAAAAATATAGCACTGGAGCTAAACCGGATATGTAGTTTAGGATGAAAGGAGATCAACTACAATGGCATATTGAATTAACCAGTCAAATCACCGATAGGATGAATGGCGTGGAAGAAATTAATCCTTACAAGGACCAAACATGAGAACAAGAAGAATGGTTAGGGGGAAAAATGGGTTCTGCAGACATGATTATAACATCACAGAGACCAGTTGTTTTGTGCTCATCCATCCATTCAAAACTCTTGCATAATCTCTTAATTGTGTGTAAAGGACTCATAGTGAATCTAAAGGACAGAAGCCAAAAAGCTTACCACTGGAAGTTGGCAGAAGATTAAACCAGAATTATAAATGTGAGTACAACTTGGAGATACCATATTTTAATAGCTTCTCCATTGAAGTCTTTCCCATGTAAGTCCAAGGTTATCACATCAAGTTTATGATTAGGTACTGCAATCTATATGCATCAATAATTAAATACATCATCATGACTAGGCTTAAATGGGCAAGGGTTTCAAATTTTCTTTCACCAAAAGCAGCCCAAGCAAGAACCTAAGAAGGCAAAACCAAAAGCATATTTGTTGCCATTGTAGGGTTTCACATTTGCTACAAGTATTGAGCCCTGTTCATACTGTTTTCACAGAAAATACCCCTGACCTATTGCCAGGCAACAAGAAGTTAGATAGAGGGAGAATGAAACATGGATGTTTTGTATCCTGGTCATATGTTGCAACACATTATTCTACATGCATCTTTGTGAAGAAAGTTGGACTGAAATATCAAATCTCAGGCTTCATGCAAAACTCAAATATAACATTTAAAAATCAAGTTTAAGATATTGAAAACTTATAATTCTCAAAGAACATATTTTGTATTATAATTCAACATGATGGAATTATGACAGAAAATTTTTTTTTTTTCATTTTGCCTCAGTAAAATGAGCATATTGTATGAGACACTAATTGATGTTCTCGGACTATCAAAGCAAATAAGGCTAAGTATTGCATGGTATTCAAGAGATTCCAAAAATGAGCAAAAAAAATAGAATGCTGCAATTCAGAACAAATACCAACCGATCCATCCATGGAGCTTGCCAGAAAGTATTGATCATAGAGCATCAGTGACTTCAAGCTACATTCACAGGAAAAACAGCAGTTTGTTAAACATGATGAGTAGAAGAAACATACCAGAAAATTTTCCAGAAGCGCAACTAACCAAGCGATAGATGATGGCATTGATATCTTAGGAGGGTAATGCGCATTCCTTTGGAGCTGCAAAGGCAATTTTTTTACTTTCACTGACTCTCCAAAATCTAATACTCGTATGAAAGCTATAAAACCCGGAAATTACATTTCAAGGTATGAAACAAAATGCATAAAGATTAGTTACATGTGGGAAAAGGAGTATGCAACTGGACTATGGGTCGTGCAAGATTTAAGGAGCACAAAAGTTTTTAAAAAAAGAAATTTAAGGTAGTGTGAAAGAATTATCTTTCTGGGGTCTCTTTAACTCATAGTAAAGTAGTCAAATCAACTTCCATGCAGGACATATTTCTCATTGTCCTGTATATATGCTAGATTTTGCAGTTGAATTGTAATTAGATACAATAAGTTAACATATTATTTTAAAAGTTATCCAGTCTAGAAATATGCGAAAGAAAATTGCTGTCACTTTTTTTCAATATTATGTCTAGCGACACATTTCCTGACATAATAACATAAATCTAAAAATATTCAAGTGGCTCATAAAACATCTCTATAATCGTTTTGACTCAATTCTCAGGTTGTAAATTGGCTATAGCTTCATTGGGTGATCTGTTATCCTTAACATCTCTCAACTATGTTTGTGTGTTTCTCAGTTGTCAGGCTAGAGTACAGAAGAAGACATTCTACATTAGTGCATTCAACCTTTGGTCTTGAAGAATTCGATGACATTGGGATTTCGATGTTGAGAAGCAAAATCTTGACATTTCTGACGAGCATCAACTGTCAAAATTGCTCCGTTGCGGAGGCCACATAAAATGATGTTTCCCTGAAAAGAGAAAACAAAAGTCTCTAAAGGTATTAGAGAACCGCAATTGGAATACATGGAAACAACTAATCAAGCACATTGTCCATACTTCTGAAGCAAATGAGGAAAATATTCAATTTCATTCTTTCTTATGCATGCATAAAGTTGTTTTGGAGGCCAGGTCATCTTACAATAAGGTTGCAGGCAAAGGATGCAAAAAATAATGGCACCACATTGATCATCTTTACAAGGAGGCATATGGTGAAATGATTTCAAAAACCACAAAAGGTAACAAGCTGAAACAGTGAGTGGACCTATACTAATAGGTGAAATACTTCTTCCATCCATTTCATAATTACATTTAGAGTCATTTGAATAAAGAGAAAAATTATACTAGAAAGAAATGGGTATAGTGCAGAATATGCAGAATATAATCCTCCTAACGCCTAATAAACAATAGGGTTAAAATAACTTCCCTAATCCACTTAAAAAAAAAAAAAAAAGAAACTCCCTATTCCACTACTGAAGACAAAAAGAAAAATAATAAAATGATGTACTAAAGCAGTTTAACTGGTAAAATCTCACATCTTAAAGTTCTCCAGTTGAGGTCCATCATAATTATCCACAACATGATTGCATTCCTGTCAGTTCTCCTGCCTAAGCCCAGCAACACTCAAATCTAGTGTACAAACAATTCCATATAACAGAATAACTGAATGGTTAAATCTACTTCTCACCAAAAAATCTACCCAAAAGATTTCATAATCTTCTACCCATAGTATTGTAAACAGTAGACAATACATAATTATTAAAGACAAGACGAAGGAAAAACAAGACTTAGTGCTTGGAGAAGTTATTGACACAGTGAAAGCAAACCATCTAGATTTTTTCCAGCAATTGCAAAAATGAAAGCAATCAAGATTTGGCAAATGATATCTTCTACATGTGGAATATCAGGGGTTGCATCTACTGTAGCTTGGCATAAACTAGTCTGGTCAGAGAGTTTAATCCCAGAGTTTGCTTTCATTTTCAGGCTTTTATTCCAAAAAGGCTCGCTATGCAAGATAGACTCCGGATCTGAGGAGATCAATCTGATGATACATGTATGCTATGTAATAAATATTTTTTTGTCTTTTGTCTGATTGAAATGTTGTTCAGAGCTGGCCTACTGAGCTTTGCTGGTTTAGAGAGCACTTTAATCAAAATATATTTGCATGTTAGAAACATGCAAAAGCTCTCATTAGCTGTTCCAGTTCACCACAGTTGGAGGGCCAGAAACATGATTATGTTCAGAACTAAAACTGTTTTTGCTCTTACCATTGTTGGAAGTGCGGTAATGCATGTCAGAGAGGTACATTTAGAAGTATATAACTAGGATATGGCTATGGAATGGAGCTCTTATTAAAAAACTGGCGTATCGTTACTGATTGCTACATAATTTTGAAGTAGCAAAGCAGGCAGATCTATCTGTATTGATGATATAATATGCACCTCAACACTGATGTTTAATAAATCTCCTACCCAAAAAAAAAGGAAGAACATAGCAGATCACTATGCTTAGGAAGGATGTAACGGGCAGCTTCTTAAATTTCATAGGCCATGTAATTACTTCACAATTCTTTGAGAAGTGGCTAATATGATATCTATGCCACCATTAACTTGATAAAGTTCATGCATCACAATTCTTTAAGAAGTGGCAAATATGATCTATTCCACTATCAAATCGATATAAAGGCCATGCGATGAGAGCAACTACTTCATTATGCATCTAAGAAAAAGCCATTAATCAATTCAAATTACCGGATTATCAAGTTGTAGCGATAAAACGTCACTTTTACAGTGCAAAACCTGTGATGCCACTCGAGATTCTACGTTTACTAAGAAAGCTCCACGATTGGCCTGTAGCAAAAAGGAAAGAAGTATTACTCCAACAAACATATGTATTTACATGTCATACATCAATAAATACTGCTATGGAAATATGTCTTGCATAAGAAGCCAATAATAAGTGAAATTGCCCATGGGGTGAAGGATACAAGTTACTCCACTTATGCAAAGACAATATAAAAGACAGTTACATGACATTTGTTTAAGCAGACAGGGAAAAACTTTACTGGTGAATAAAGAAAATACTTTGCTGCAAATCACAAGATATTGAGGAACTCTCCAGAAGTAAGGGACAAAGATCATCAAAGAATAACAGAAAACTCAGGCCACACTAATGTCAAAAACAATGTCAAAAGGAGTTTTTCTCCATAAAATGCATTCTGGTTTATGCTATAGTGCTTGATGTCTACATATTACCTATGAAGAATTCATTCCACAAAAGCAGAAATAAGAATTAGATTACATGGGCTTCTTTTTTTTCGTTTTCTTTCCCTCATTATAACCATTTGTGGATAGGAATAAAAATTGATGTTCAAGCGGAATTAGATTGTGCTTATACTGAAGCCAAAGATTTGACCAGAATAAAAGTAAAGGATGAAAATAGAGAATTTTTATAACACATTATGTGGAAAGAAAAGAAAACAGATGATCTTGCTAAATGCATTCTTGATGGATGTGAGGTAACTAATTTTGTAAACTAAGCATTTCACACTGCAACAGATAGAAACGTTGTAAAGTAAACAAGTTCTCAATCAAAGATCAAGTCTTAGAAATTACCAATCGCTACTTTATCCCCATTATAGCTGCAATCTGCATCCCAAATTGTACTTTCAAAAGAAGCAAGCCGACGAAGAGATTCTGAAGTGCTTGAGTAATATCCTAATGGTGCAGTCACATCCATAATGTATGCCACTCCACGAGATGCTCCAGAACCCATAGTAGTTATTCTTAGGTTTATTTGTCAAGGAGTACACATGCAACAAAAAATTATACTGCTGTTTAAGTTCTAAGCATCTAAACAAGATAAGCTCCGGATTGATGTACTTGCAAATTAAAAAATGCATCAACTAGTGGTGGTTAGTCTGAACTACAAAGAAACAAACAGACCAAAGAAATGAGCATCCCACAGAGAAAATTTGTGAATTGCTCAACATAACAGCAACATATAAAATGAAGTTAACAATGGAGATCCTGCAGCAAAACACATTACCTATCGTAAAACAGCTGAGATCAACCACCTTAGGAGTACCTAAGAGTTACCAGTAAGACAAAGACCAGAACTGTCACCCCAGAAATACTCACACAAACTCCAATGAATATCTAAAAGTTTTCAAAGGATACAAAACATTCCTTGTCAAAGCCCCGTCAACAGGCATCCGCAACATCTTGATGCAAGTTATGTCAGAACCCATAAAGATTGAAGCGTGAACAGGCATGCATAAATTATGCGGTGCTATGCATTCGGTTTGCTGCACCTTGTTGACAGGCCATACTGGCTCCGGAGAACATTCGATCTCATAATTAAATTCTTGTTCAACATTTCCAACTAGGAAAAGACTGGAAAAAAAAGGTCCCAAATCAACACATTAAAGAGCACTTTGTAACAATTCCCAATAAATGCTTGAATGTTTCCTGAACAGTAATATTTCAAAGGAATCCTTACATTGTAAATGGCAAACAACTAAGCGTTGTGAAAGTCAATACCAGAGTATTGTCAACATATTTGGCAAGCATAGAGTCGCCTGAGTAGGTCTTACACATGGCAATATAAAAAAGCAAGATGGGTGATCAGCTTTCTTTGACCAATGACTACAGGTTTCTGTGGCCTATAATGGTCTAGTTCTCTTCAGTCATATATATGAAAAGCCCATACAGCCACACTAGTCTATGTTTTGGGATTTCAGACACAAAACTAGAATCACTACCTGATTATCTGTAGAACTCAATTTTTTCTCCCCTTTCACTTCCTCTTTTCTTTATTTACTCCATCTATCAGTATTTCTCTCAACTAATTCATTTAAATTTCAATTTGTACGCAGAAATACCTCACTTCCTTTTGTTCATTTTCCCATTAAGCAATGTGCTCCTGAAAAGAGCCTTCCATGCCTACTGGTCGTCAGTGTCTCATCAATAGGCACATAATTCTCAAAAATGTAGGGGAAAGCAAAACCCAAAAGACTATTCATTAATTTGTTAATAAGTAGACAAATCCAATTCAACATTCAATGTCAAAGATACCTCAATGTACCGTTTAGACCACCAGCCAATAATATATCAGTTTCCAATGTGCCAGCTGGCGTGTCAATATCAATATTCATCTGTTGCACCACGTTGTCAACCTTCTTTTGGGTCTGACCATACTTCCATATCTAAATGCATAGGAAAACAAGAGAATATGGATAAAGAATCTCATAGCTCTTGTTTGACAGGGGAAAAAAACAAGAAAGAAAGTATAGCAGTTTACAGAATTTTAAAACTTATTAAGTAATTAATACATAACAAGTTTCTCTCTAATGAATAACTTCGTTATTGACACATTAAGAATATGTTCCCTACTCTTTTCAAACAGTCAGAAGTTAAACAACAAGAAAGCACATCTTCTTAGTTTCTTTATGAGGTTTAAAATTATTTCTGATGTGTCACTTCAGTTACTGCACTGTAAATGGAAAGCAGTAAAGACCATAAGAGATTAATTGATTCCTTAAAACTTATCTTTAGTAGGAAAGAATCATTGTAATCGAGCAAGCAGAGATGAAGAAAGCAAATACACATGCACACCACTACGATATCATATGGTAAACATTCTCCATCAAGTCAACCGAATACACAAATGTGCAACACTGACAATAACTCTAAATCTAAGGTGCAAATCATTTCACCATTCATGTCTAGTTTTATCCAACCTCATGGTAATTGGAAATGGTATGTAAAAATCTCTATTGATAACTGACTTGGAGAAGCATACCAGAGGTTGTGATGCTTGTTTATTTTGGCATGTAGTTTGAAAATTAAATTTCCCTTTTCTGGAAGGGATTATGTTGCCGCACAGCTCCCTGAACTGAAGTATCTTACTCCTACTTTTCATCCAACTCTGTGTCCTTCTAGCCTGAACAGATAAATAAACAACTTATATCACAGAACAGAATCCGAAAACACAAACAAAAGAGTAAGAAAAAAAAAACAGCATTTTAAGCAACTCAGATATACTAATAATAGGAGAAAATAAATCAAAAGAAGAAGCTTATCAGTCCACCTATTGATTTGCAGGTTAACTCATAGCTATGCATCTAGTTCGTTGGATTCCCATCACTGATATTCTAAATAACAACTGAGAAAGCATAATGACATCTAAGCTAGAGAGGAAAGAGAGAGAGAAAAAAAATCATTGCATGTTGCTGATATCACCAACTTTCATGACAAAAAAAAAAAACCTTGAATCTCCCTTTCTATTTACAAATTATTCGGAATCGGAAGGTGATCAATATATTCATAAGTTGCCCCAATCTACAGGCTATATGCCATTAGCTGCCAACCAACACTGTCACACTTCTCTTAAGACATTCCAATACATTACACTTTCTTGGAACATTTCCACAACTAAGTACAGATAAAAAGCAAATTTCCAAATCCTCAAAGTTTGGAAGCAATTGGTCACTCGTGATATTCTCAAGATGTGATTAAGAACACAAGTTAAAAGAAAATAATGTACAATATGAAATAAAAAATCCAGAAACAATCCGCTTCATAAGCAAACTTAACACATTGTGAAATTTCATTTAAGAAAAGGATACATATGGAAAAACTGTGTTCTCTACACAATGAAGTGTAATTCAAAGTGCACATTTAATTTTTTTTTTTGAAGTAACATGATTGCATATATGCTCATATACTCCTGTATAAGTTAAATTTTATAAAATACAAACTTATGTACATGGTCACATAGTAGGTTAGCTTTTCCATTTCAGTACTATGTATAATAACAGGCTATCTACCATTTTGAAGCCTTTATATGTAAGTGATAATCAACTAGATACATGTCCCAATTAAATTTGTCTTCAACATGACATACTCCGTCTTGGAAAAGATGGTGTCTTTAAATCTGATAAACTCTTTCAAACTCACACTTACCAGCTTGCTACATTACATTCAACTTCAACCAGACCTCACAATCACCATTTTGAACAAGGCAATATAGCAAAACAAAAGCAGCACCAAGAAAGTACAATCCATGTTGGAGCTCTGAGATTCTAGTCATAAATTGAAATGCTAACAATCACATCAACAACAGTAATTGAACCAGGAAAAAAGGTGTTCGACAAAGCAGTTTTTGACTGCTCGATGCTTGTAAACCTCCTTCAAAAGCTAAACTCTTCCTTTCTTCCCAAAGCAAGCTTAAAAAGTCGTGGATTCAATAACGAGACAAAAAATTAAATTGCAAGAACATCATTGCCTTTTTTTTTATCAAGTCTCGTTTGACAATTAAACAGTAAAATCTCCAGCTTTCCCTTTTGATTTACGGATTTGACTACAAAAAAAAAGGGAAAGGAAATGAATAACACAACTCCAACTGCCAACTTCCGTTATAGCAGCAATCAAATTCTCAACCAAACTTTTCTCAGAACCAAACAAGGAAAATCAAGAAATTTAGAATGCACTAACAGAAAATGAGCAAGCCCTTAAAACGATAAACCGAAAAAAAAGGCTTCTTCACATAAACCAGGAAAAAAATTTACCTGGTCCGATTCTGAGGCTGGTTTTTGAGATTTGTCAGCAGAAGAAGAAGACTCTGATTTCCGCTTTCGAGAAGACCCAGGAATTGGACCACGCGTAGGAAGAACCTTTTCTTCTCCTCATCATAGTAATACCCCGCAATTTCTGTAGAATTAATTGTACACAAATCAAATTCATTTCAATGTACAAGAATCATTAGCTTAATTCGAATTACTAATCAGTAGGGAAGAGAAAACCTCTGGCCATTCTCGATGAAGCCCAGCAAGAAGCCTGGTTGTCTTTCTCTGTGTGCTAGTGAATATGAACTTGTGTGTGTTTTTGCCGCTTCCAACGTTGTACTTAGTCTGACCAGCTGACTCAAGACAACTCCGCCACAAGACAACACCACCAACGTTACTATCTAATGGGAAGGAGAACGGTGAAGTTTTGCCAGGTGGCCACCGCCCAGGAAAGCCTATGGATCCTGTGTCTTTTCCGGTCTACCGAAATTTGAAAGTGGAAAGATGACTCACGATTTCATAAACAGGCATATTTAGAGCATTTTCTTTTCACGCCTTCTCAGGGTAAGCAACTTAAAAAGGCATAAAGGCGTGTACAAGACAATGGGTTGATTATATGCTTAGGATTATGAATTATGAATACCCTTCAAAGGCCACGCCTTCTTCCATCCTTTTAAAACTATCTCCCTTGATCTCAAATAAGATGTACCCACACATTAACATAATTCGTATTAGTTAAAAGTTAACCTTATATTGTCACGGTCGGATGATGTATGATATATAATTTAAGATATATTAAAAAAAAAGGTCAATCTACGGCACCTGTTAACATATATTTCAGTTGTTAGAATTTTAGAAATAGAAGACTAATTAGAGAAAATGTATAAATGTATGGAAATTAATTTGGAAAAGTGTATAAATGTAAGAGAAAATAGTAATTGTTATTATTTATATATATGGGCTAGGTTAGCTAATTTGTAAGTATGTTAACGATACCCACAAGGCACCTGTTAGGAAAACCCTTGCAAAAAAAAAAAGGAAATCATGAGACGAGTCATGACCTTATAGTAACCTAATTACAAATAAGAAGTGTCGTGGCAATCTAATCCCTATTAATTGTGTTGGGCTAGATCTTTGGGATATCTGGGACTACCTTGAGTATGAGCCCAAATAAGGTGATAAAGGTTGAAGTAAGAGAATTATTTTGGAGGATCGTTGAAGTAAGAGTTTATTGCCCTGATTAGGACTGTCAATGGGGCCGGACTAGTCCGAGTTCAGCTCGTTTGACCCTAAAAAAAGTCCCATTAACCCAACTTTTTAGTGAGTCGATTTGAGATTGAGCCTAAAAATAAGTCTGAATTAAATATGAGTCGAGTTTGGATCTCATTAGACTCAAATCCGTCATAGGCCCGACCCTTTAATTATCTATATATATGTATGATATTTATATTTTAATATTGTGTATAATTATATATCCAAATATATTATTACTAAATATTAAATATAGATAAATTACAAAACACAAAAATATATCTGAAGACTCTTGTACCAGTTTTCTTGAGAGTCAATATTAGTAATGCATAACTGAATATCTAACTTTTCTTATTGGTTGAGTAAATTTTTTGTGTTGGCATAATATTGGTTGATTTTTATTTATTTATTTTGTCTAGAAACACAAATCATCAACCATGTTTGGATTCAAATCACAAGGTTATAAAGAAGTTTCAACCTTTGAAAATTTATTAGCTTATGACCACATGTTTTATTACTATTTTTCATGTATTTTGAATGAATTAGATAAAAATATTGTTCAAAATTTGTTGGTCTATATACTTTTTAAAAACTATTACTTGTTCATATTTAGTTTTAGTATTGCAATCTTGTAAATGTTAAATTGGTTTTAGAACTTAATAGTTATAGTAATTATATTAAGAAAATTAAGGAGTAATAAGTGAGTTTGGGCTAAACTCGAATAAGACTCACAACCCGAATATTATGTGAGTTGAGTATGAATTTCACATTTATTAATTCGAAACTCATAGCCCGAACCCTGAAGATGTTACAAATTAAATGAGTTGAAATTGAGCTTATGAAAACCTAATTCATTAGCCCCGATTGATAGGTCTAGCCACGATAATCCTCTCCTTAAAAAAATATTTTCAAACTAATGCAGTTTCAAAATTTATTCCCCTGTTAATCTACTTGATGCCATGATGTGGACTTCAAATAAGAAAATCTAATCACGCTTAAGCTTTTCCTGTTATCTTTTGTTTTTTTTTTTGAGAGGTACAATCCCCATTAAAATGTTAATAACTACTCTTAGGAGCTTAATTGCTAATTCACATTAGATGAACCCACAATTATTTTTAATAGTTCAAAATTTACCACTTGTATACACACTCTAAAGTGAATAAAAGTTCTTCTCTATTTATTATTGATTGTCTACATTGAGGAATTTCTTAATATATTTGAAAATTTCTTAAATAGTCATAAAAAATTTCTTGCCATGTGTATGATGAAACGCCATATAGATAAACTAAAAATCTTTGGAGATCTATTCTATTAATTCATGATTTTTCACTCTTAGAATGCACAATGATAACTCTTCCAAATGTCGACTATCAACTAACCTTGGTGTTAATTTTTGTGCTTATTATGACATGCTTCAATTCTCTACAGCGAGACAAAAAATCAATACAAGATTTTTTTTTTTGTCATTTCCTTTTTCCTTTAAAATGGAACTTTTATAGTACTCATTAAATGATGATCATTATCTTGAACTACTCACTAGTGTGTTATACTATCTGAGTTTTCCCAAACTTCTTGAAATGTATAAAGTCAGCAGTTCATCATCATTTATGTTATTGCATATAACAACTTATAAAGAAAGAAATTTGTGATATAACAATCAAAGAACAATGCTAAGGAGGAAAAATAAAAGCGACATTGTCAGAAGATAGGATATAATTATATGTGACATACATGGATTTGCTGTTTGTTGCCATAAGAGTAGACAAGAGCAGATATGTTGTTATTGTTCTCATAAAAGGGGTAAATTTTCTTTGCAAAACTATTGCCATTAAAGGGATAATTGATAATTTTAAAGCATTAATTAATATGGATTTATTTTCCTTTCTTAGTTTGCTGCCTATAGTGTGCCTGTAGAGCACCAAATATATAGAAAAAGAATTATACAACATAAGAAAGAAACTACTTACAATTTATTCTTTTCTTTTGATGGAGATCGATTGACAAGGGAATAAAATCTTTCCGATTGACAAGGGAACAAAATCTGAAAGAGGAAATTACTTTCTAAGTAGATTAGTTTGGCCAAAACTCGTTGAAGTGGCGAGTTTGCTTTTAAAGGATGCATCATAGTTTAGGTCCAAAGTTACGACTGGATTTTTTGGGGCAGGCCTGTCGGTACCTCAACAAAGAAATTTTTGAACAAGGGATCCAAAATCCATGCCTTATGTCGACAACTAATTGGACTCACCAAATGAAACTTTGGCTAGGCAAACAGCTTGTAGTTTGTGACGATTTTGAATAGGTTAATGCAGGAAGTGACAATTGACAATTATAAAAAAAAAAAAAAACAAAGAAACTTGTAGTTTATGATGGTTTACACCCCAAAATTAATGGAAACACCTATATAGTTATTTTATTTTATAATTTTGTTTTACGATCTTGCACAATTCATATATTTTTTTTTTCTGAGTGAAAGTGAAAAGTTTTGAATTCGATTTTTTATTTATAATGTCTCTCGCTCTACTATCCAACCCACCGTAGTATATTTCAATATCTCCCACTGAATGAATGCCGATATTCCTTATACAGCCAAGTTTACTTTACGTTTGAATACGTTTTATCTCCTACATTTAGGCAAATATTGCAATGTTTTAGCAACTCAACATGGAGATGCCCATCAACTCAACTTTAGCCATGCTCACGTACGTACCATAATATTCCGCCCTACCAACTTTAGAGTGACTGTTATGTACTGAAATCCAAATTGGATCGGCCCTCTATTCTCTCTTTTGTAGGTTGGATTACACATAAGCAGAAGTGACTGGAAGAAAGATTCCAAGAAAAAGACTAAAGCAATCTTGTTTAACAGAATAATATATATGATCTGCAAGTTAATAGGATCAGGCGATTGTAATGCAATCTGCTAACTGACTAGCTAGTTTCTTTGGATGTAACAATGAGATTTCGTAAAGGTGCCAAACCGTAGAAATTGATTACTAATTAGTACACAAAAGTCAAAAACATATATTAATGAAGTTAATTAGAAGAAGGTAGAAGCATGTAAGCACTTTTACGAATTGTAAAAGCTTTGGTTACTTTGGTCAGCAGCCCATTAGCACATGGCTGCAGAAGTCCACATGGTTAGAAGGCTCATACTTCATAACATAAAGAATTGTCAATATGTGATATAACCAGTATATCAGAAACTTAGAATCAGAACTAACTCTAGCTATGATCTGAAAGAGATCTGTTGCCCTTTGATGCTTGTGATCGAAGACAGTATATAGCACGCAAAAAAGTAAAAAATTGAAATGATTTTGTACAAAATGTCTAGCAATCCCATGCAAGTTGATCCATTGAATTCACATTACAATACATTCCAGGAGGAACTAGAGCCGAATCCATGAACTCAAAGTCGATGCTAGAGCTATCAAATCCATTCTCGGCATTCTGACAACCATTAAACTCGTGATTACTCACTCGGTACACTTTTCTTGATCAGTACTGACCTTTTCCGGCTGCTGCTGCTGCTGCGGCGGAGCGAGCGTGATCGAAGCATGGCTCAAAACCATTACCCCACATGCAATTCTCAGCTAAAATCCCAAACCCTGATGAAGGTAAAGAAGAAGTTGAAATTGGAGTGCTTTCCATAGAAGAACAGCTAGAAAACTCCATCATAGATTGCTGATGAGAACTGTGAGTTCCATGGTCAGTCCATGCAAGATTACTAGGGTTTTGGAACTCAAATGTTGCTATGTTGATGCTCCGTTTAATGCGGATGATTAATGTATGAGCTCGGGAGAGACAACGTCGATTTTGCATCGATGATTTCTTTGTTTCCTGGTGAAGTATCCATGGTGAAAACTGAACCTGATTGGTCATGATGAGAGTTGAGTTTGCTTATAGTATTACCATTGTTCTTGGCTTTGGTTTGATGAGGAGACAGGAGATTATGAGTATTGGGGTCTAATCCTTGAGCAATGAGCTTCTTCTTGATCACAGAATTCCAGAAGTTCTTGACCTCATTATCAGTTCTTCCAGGCAAATGTTTGGCTATCTGTGCCCATCTGTTGCCTAAAATCCTATGAACATCAATAATTGTCCTCTCTTCTTGTTCAGTAAAAGAACCCCTTTTAAGATCTGGCCTCAAGTAATTAATCCACCTTAATCTACAACTCTTCCCACACCTTTGTAGCCCTGCAACAACATTCCATCATTAGGACCAGAAGGCCAGAAGCTGGAGAGGAACGAGAACAGGAAAAGCCCAAAAAAAGGAAAAAAGAAAGAGAGAACTGAACCATTGTTCTAAGACGAGGAACAAAAACTCATATTAAACTTCAAATTGTATTCGATTCTCAACCAAGAAACCAAATTTCTTTGACCAGTTAGTCAGAAGTGAAAAGAAAAACTATCTACATCTGCACGAATAAAGATGCAAAGCATATACAAAGGTCAAATTCAACCTGCAAGTTTCGGAACAGAACTCCAACAGCCATGGCCGTGGGCAGTTATGTGTTTAACGAGCTTCTCATCTTCTTCAGGAGACCATAAGCCCCTCTTGACTTTCTGTTTGCTGCAGCAGTGATGGCCCATGCCTTCCTCCAGTATTACTACTAGACCTACTCTTCCTCCTTCACCACCACACTCATTAGTACAAGTCATCATCATTTATATATGGTCGGATGCATCAGGCCCTTTTATTTTCCTCTCAAATTAATCATACTTCTACTACTAGTATTGCTAGTGCTGCTGGTACTAGAGAAATATTACATCTCACTTTTCTACAGCACAGAGTTTTCTCCAAATATTAGCTAAGTTATACGTGCGTAAAATAGGTGAAGTGTACGACATATCATGATATAATACTATAATACTCTATTAATCAACATGTTTATCAAGAGAGAGAGAGAGAGAGAGAGAGAGGGAACTGTGCTGGAATATTAACTTGGAGTTTACTCATAAAAGGACCACAGGGTCTCATTGAGTGCTATATCAGCTTCAAATCCTTGTCCTTCAACCATTGATCTCAACTTGATTGACACTCTTCTTTAATCAAGGATTTTATTACAAATAAAACCCTCATAGCTGTGCTAGTGGTGGTACATGATGCACAAAACCTTTACTATTTTTCTAAAATTTCTTTGCTCTCAGGCTGTACTATATATATGCAAAAAAGACATGTCCCTTTAAACAAGTTACTCATCTTAGCTATTCCTAGGGTAAAACGATAAATTAATAGGGTGATAACAATAACAATAATGACTGATATAATCCCACATTTCCCTTACACTTGGAGTCAACATCTAGCTTTTATTTCACTTCTATATACTCAATTGTACATTTGTTAATGGTCACAAAAGTCTATTCAAGACATAATTTAAAAGGGATACAAGAAAAAAAATTTTGGTAATAACAAGTCGTGTGTAATTCAAAAAGGAATGGAAAAAGAAAAAAGAAAAAGGATTGTAGAAAATTTTAATTGTCGACAGTCTACACTGGTTAATTTGATCTACCTTTTAGGTTGCCGTATGTAAGGAGGAGATGCCAAAAGAGGGTGTCGGCATGTAAAGTTTGCATACCTGTAGCTCTAATTTTAGAAATGTAATATACAATGAAATATCTGTGAACAGGTGTTCCTTTAAGGGGGAAAAGAAATGCCATTAGAGGTAAATGAATGATAATCTCTGGACATGTAAAGCAAAGCCTAATGATTTTGCAGAAGACCTCCATCATATCTTGCTTTAGAATTCTACATAAAGACCATCATCTTTCCCTCCATTCCTCTTTTTCTTTCTCACTCTTCCACTAAGACAAGCAAACAAACTCCAACAGAATTTTTGTGTATTAAATATGAAACATTAAACATTAATTTTATTTTAGTTTTTTTTTTTTTAATGTTTTGAACCTTTTTTTGAACCTTCCCACCACCCAACAATTTTCTTTTAGGTTAAACATCGAATATATTACTATAAGCTTTTCTAAATATCTTATCTTTGATATTTGTACCATTGGAATAATCCAACATATGCTTTTGGTGTAGATGCAAAATAAAAATAAAGAATTACATACACAGGTTGGATGAAGAAATTGCTAAGGGCTGTCTTGTGCCCCTAATCTAAGTGAGGGTACAAGACAATGTGCTGTGGCATATCTTTTCTTCACTCAACCGTTACTTTAAAGAGTCAATTTCTTGGTGTCAACGAAGATGGTGATGATTGGATGTGTCTACTTTCATGATATTTCACCCCCTATAGCCTTTCTCTCTCGTTGTTTCTGTGGCAAAAAACTTTACAAAGCACGTAAAATGATCTTTCTTCTTCTTTTCCCTTTGTTTCTTTGGAGGAAATCACGTGAAAAAGCAAAGACTTCTTGTAAAAGGGACGGGTTTACTTGTAAGCATGCCAAGAAGAAGAATAAAATTGTCTACACAACTAGCTAGCTTATGGGCGAGACCTTAGGTGCCTTGCAAATCCTTCAAGTCAACAAAGCATAATCAAGTATGCATAAGATTTAGCACAAAATGGCGCTCAAAACTGATTGAAATGACTTGTTCATCATAGTGAACAAACTAAGGTATGTAGATGATGAAGACTTGATTTGATTGATTCAAAAGAGGTATCATGCTAACAAAATGGACGGCCAATTAGGCCTTTTGATGCTAAAATATCAATAGGGCTCGCATGATGGGAAAGAAGAAGGTTTAATGATCATCAAGTACGTACAGTGGACCACGAATGCAGCACACAAGACTTTGGCATAAATTAGAGGATTGCCGACAGAATTACAATTATCTCTGTTAATCCCTTTTTTGTTGAAAAGCCAACAAGCTCAAGTATCCCCACTTCCTAAGCTATCTATCCATGATAAGTAACTCCGTTTTGGTGCCCCCACCAAGTTACTACTTACCAGTTACCATTGTCCAAGAGTCGCTTGTTGAATAGCACAGCATCCGATCAACCACTGTATTTGCCCTAGTCTAGGATCAAGATAAAACTTCTTCCCGTGATACTAGATTTTTGACCCGTTGAGTTTTGATCCAGTGATCAGAAAGAGTCTTTTTTTTTTTTTTTTTGCCGGAGGTGATAAACCTAATCTATCCTACACTAAGGGAAAGGGAGCGGCCCTAAGGAGACTCGGGGATAAGTCGGAGGGAACTGAACCACCACCGGATCAAAAAGAGTCTCTTAAATCTTTTGTACATGTACACTAAGTCGAGGGTTCAAATTCCGATGTATCAAGGAAAAGGACAGTGCTTCCTTTCGTCAAAAAATCTAAAGAGAAAATTATACAAGTTACTGGTGATAACTGGGCGAATATAAACCAACGTGCCAAGTAAAATTAGCAGTAGTTCCTCCTGTTTACAAGTATTTAAACACAGACGCAAAGTTCGTTCATAGGAGATTTCCATTTTATGGTGTTGGTTGTGTAATGTCATCATCACAAGTTAAGCCCTAATGGGAGTGGGGACATGCCTAAAAATTTTGTTGGCGTCCATACATGCACACTTTTAATATCTCCTTCAATAGAAACGTACGAATTCTGAAGTACTCCAATGTGGCTCGATTCTACAATATTAGGAACAGAAATTATAGGAGATACACTTAATAAAAAGTAATTAAATATCAAACAGATGAAGAACTCGAATTTTCTAGGCATTTCTGTTGTTTACTTTAGGTTGGATGTCAATGTTGTGCACATTTTCGTTTGGTAATGTAACTCAGGTGAGGTCATTGTCCCAAGTAACTATCTTCAGCTTTATCAAACATGTCCAAATCTCCAACTCCCTTGGCCGCTGTACCTTCGGCAAGGCGGCGGGGCTCTGATATGTCAGCCAAAATAATGTCCGCAGACAATGAGATTACAGTTCGATGAAGTGAAGATTTTTTGGTTAGTGGTCAATTTACATCTATGGTAGAAACGAAAATATGATCATACAAATGCTATAGTTAAAAACGGTATCATTCTTTTTGATGATAGGATTTCATTTTGTTCATGCACTTTTGCAAAAGTTACAAAGGAAATACCATATATATTAATAGGGAAAACAGTGGATAGGGTATCTTTCGAAATCCTTTTTATTAAACTCTTATCCATTTAGACAAGTATCGAACGAAATCCTAACGCGTAAGCAAACGAGTTTTATTTTATTATTAAAGGTATTTACTCGTAGGTTTAGATTAACCATCCAGTACCCTCTATTCAGTACTTAAACTTGTTAAATCGTTCATGAAATAAAAATACACGCATCTAAATAGTTTAAAAATCTGAAAACTAACTTTTGACGAACTAAAAATTGATGACACTAAAATAAAAATATTCCATTAGAATAAAAATTTGAGATTGAGTGTTAGGAATGCTCTTACGGCATATTGCCTATTGGGCTGTGTCATGGGTTGTGTTAGTCCTATGCGCCATTGGGCTGTAAATTGAGTCTTGAGAGAACATTTACATATATATATATATATAGAGCACATAATTTAAATTTGAATTTAAAATTCAAATATTATATATATATATATATATATATATATATATATATCATAATGTTAGTAAATCTTAATGAATAATTCATCCATCATCTAATCAAATTGATTATCGAATTTTTACACGTGAATATCGGATTTTATCTGCCTGTTGCCATCCCTAGATGCTATCAACAATACTTTTTATTTTATTTTATTTTTTCTAATGACTTTTAACGAAAAACAGTGAGAAGAAACCAGGTGTCTCGATTATGGGGCTCACTTGATGTCATCATCTGAATAAGTATTGATAATTAGAAAATAAGAAACTTGTATGACTAATCAAAACACATCATTACGTTAAAAATGACCCCTTCGTGTCTTGTGAAAATGATTATTGAAATTTAGCAGCTACTGCAAAAAAATTCTAACTGTACAGCTCAAGACATCTTGGACGATTTGTGTGGGAGTCCTTTATTTCTTGAGAGCTTGATTATTTCACCTGGAAAGTGCTGTTGCAGAATTTAAACTTCTGCTTCATCAAGTAAACTGATTAATGTTTTCTTTGCCAAAAATGATATACGTGCTGATGAGGATTGATTCAAGCATTTGCCTAGTGAGGTTGATCCATTAGACTTGGTCCAATTTGCCAGCCCTGAAAGCTACTTTCAGAAGAAAACTTCAGAGGTGAAGTGCACAAATAGATGTCGAAGATTCTACTTCAAACAAATGCATACGAAATAAATCTATAGGCATATGCATCTTCTGTGGGGTTGGTGTGTTCTCCTTTTTCTCCATCTCTCTCTCTCTCTCTTTCTGTTTTTTCTCTTTTCCATTTTTATTGGGCTGAATGATTCTGAGGTGATCGAAGATCGATGCTGTCAATCTTGACTCATTATAACAGCTGACCATTTTGTTTTGCTTGATTAAAGCACAACTGGGATTAGCCTCGAGGGGTTAATACACTTGAGAAGTAATCATCACACCATCTAGAAGGAAGCAAAAGTCCTTTTTTTTTTTTTTTTAAAGAAAAGTCATTCAATTTGAAGAACATTTTCTTGCTGATAGTCAAAATGGGGGAAGCCTCTGCTAGCCTTCCATGAAGGGTTTTTGCTCACAACTTCCAACACACCTCCTCATTTCTTGGTTTCATCTTAAACAATTTCTTGAATGGCCGGGAGTGGTGATGAAACTTGACACTAGCATTCATTTAC